CCCAACCTTCAGTGGACTGACGGAGTAAAGATTAACATGTGAAACGTTAAGAAAGCTCAATCTTTACAGAACCAACAACCTTTACAGAACCAACAACCTTCAGTGGACTAGCGGAGTAAAGATTAACTTATGAAACGTTAGAAAAAACATATAACATAAATATTACTGTAGCAAATATAATACCAAATCCGTGTCAAATTTGCTGTATAGAGCAAATCTATTGCAATTTTGTTGAATTAAATTTTCGAATGATTCCTAAATTAAATTTCAATTTTCAAATCACAATTACTATTATAAACTATATCTATACTTATTATAACCATCTAAACGAAGACCTTATATTAATTTGGTTGAAACCTATACGCGGCTTCATTTTTAGCGTTTTTCTAGTGCGTTAAAACCTTTTTTATAGTTGTCGATTAATTTAAATTAGATTGTAAACCTCTGGGTATCGGTGGCGTGAGTATTAGAGCGCAAGTGTGCGGGGGCGGATTAGCGTTATGAGTGTCACCGGGCGATAGGGATAAAAGGAACCCCCTGATGACATCATTGAAGGAAGACAATCTACTTTACTTGATAAGTTTGAGCATATTAAATACTGGTATTATCGATACATATCGATACAGTCGCGATATAAATTTATATAGCGATATAGATTTATATAAAGAGCGCGAAATATTGATAAAAGATCAGAGTTTGCGAAATATCACATTAGAAACCGAAAAATTTACTTTTCGTTATATAAAAAAGCTTAACTGCTCGGAATGAATCAGAATACCACTTTAAAGTCATTAGGTATGTCATAAAGAAACAGATTTTTGACGTTTTAAAGTAACATTATTTTTCGAGCCGAAGCGAGGCAGCAGACTATATATGCTTAGCTTGACATTACACGAAGTTCCTGTTATTATTATTTTTTTTATTATTATCAAAATATTTTATGAGGGTGCCACAATCACCCATAGGTGCTTTTCATGTAGGCCCTCAATTTAAAATACAATCAATAACTTAGCTAAAAATAAATTCTACATAAAAACAAGGAACGAACATTAAAAAGGTAACTACCTGTCCGTGTCCGAGTTATATAAATTAAAGTTGAAAAAACTCAATCTATCAAATTATTTAATTTTTCGATATGTGTCACAAACCGGGGGTGAGCCGCGGGGATCGGCTTCGCCTCGTGAAATATCAGCGGTAAAAATGCGGGACGCAAGGTGCGGCGAACGAAAAGTTTACAACCGCTAGCTAAGGACATGGACGAATTCCGCTTTTATCCGGTATCAACGTATGAGATCCGTAAAATTGTGAACTCGTTTTCACCAAATAAAGCACCTAGCATAGACAAGGTATCGTTTAGAGTGATTAAAGATGCTTTACCTGTTATATTACCAACATTAAAAGAGATATAGATCGCTAATTGTTCTTGTTAAAGTCACACCACTTTTAAAAGAAGGAGACTTTGAAATATATACTAAATGATAACTGGCCTCTGTCACGCTCCCAGCAGCTTCGCTAAATGCTCCATGTGGTCGCGCAAAATCAATTTCCTGAGTATTTAACTAGGGGAAAAACGCCTTATATAACCGTTCATCAAAGCAGTAAGACAAGGAGTCATTCGACAGAAATCTATTTTTGACAGATGCGATCTTGGATGCTATATGGATGGAAAGGAATGGACTACAGTCGCTTGATAAGATTTATCAAAAGCGTTTGAAAGCGTTAATCATCTGAACTTCTTAACAAACTTCGCTCAATGGGTGCTTCTACCGCACAATAGCTTGGTTTAAGAGTTATTTGTCTAAAAGGAAACAGTCGGTCAAATTGGTCAAAATTTGTCAGATATATACTTGCTCGGTTGAATATGGTGTGTCTCAGGCCTCCATGCTTAGTCCATTATTGTTATTTAACATCTGTATAAATCATTTACCGACTGTTCATGACAAGTGCACGTGCCCTTTGGAATCTTCTGCGGACTATTCAAAAGTCTACTTGTCGTTCTTTATTATAAATAAGTCTACCACAGGCTCAACTTAGGAATGATTTGCAGAAAATTGCAGTGTGGTGCATGCAACGTCGTGCATGTTTTTCCAATAGTCTGCTTATTAATCCAGAAAAAAAAAGCTTTGGATTACCACAAATGTTGAAGGGAATACAAGATTTCAGTGTGTCCTTTCTTGATAAACAACTACAACCACTGTCCGCTGCAAACGATTTGGGATGGAATTGGATGGGTGTTTAGTATCGAAATGTATGAAATCTCTGTGTCAAATTAACCGAATTAAACATATCCTAGATGACCATACCCTTGTGACAATAATAAACTAACGCTTTAGTATCCAGCAGATTACGTACATTACTCTTCTTCTGTTTAGGCGAATACACGAAACAAGAATGTCGCCAAACTGCAACGTGTACACAACTTTCCTGCAAGAATAGTGACTGCGAAAGGCAAATATGACCATTTAACACCAGTGTTACGTCAAGTAAATTGGCTTCCCGTCAGTTACGTTTCAAAGATGCAGTGATGACTTTCACGTGCTTAAAAGGACTGGCTCCTTCATACTTATTAAGCAGATTTTCATATCGATCAGAGGCACATAATCGTGGCACAATTAAGGGGAAAATATTTTAATATCTAATGTTATTTCCTCATGACTTGTTCTAAATTAATAAAACTATTCTTTATGCAAACTAAGTTTAGAAATTCTCGGGATTTTGGCAAGTTTTACTGTGCAATTTTGTTAGATTTATATTTTTATTAGGTTTTTGGACTATATGATCTCGGAAAGTAAACAGTTAACAGTTATATTATTACGGGTCTAGATCCTGGAAACAGGTTGCGGTTGTAAGTGACAGCGTCCGCTATGATCTCGCACCTTTGTTTCTGACTATTGGAAGTAAACCTAGAGCTCCTTACATCCTGTTTACCCATGCTTTTTAAAGACCCGAGTTATTTCCTTTGAAAGAATAAGCTATTCAAAAAAACTTCGCATCGACGATATCCTTCAAACGCAATCAGTTTAAAAATACCAAAATCGTTCCTTAGCACTATAATTATGTAATAAAGTACATGCTGCTTTCAAACGAGGATTTTTATCATTTTTAACTAAAATCTTCGAGCAGAACCAGTGCAGTCGTTCAAAAACGTCAGTAAAAGCCGAAACCTATACATAGGGTTACGCAGGCCTGGTTTTCGGCGCCTAGCAGTAAACAGAGCAGCCTCTCTATACCCTACTACAAAGCTTTTTAGTTTAAAAACAAAACAGCTGAAAAATAAAGTTTACTCAACTACGTTAAAATTACTCCACCCATTGGACTTTCCTTACCCGTTTCTTCATCTGAAGTTTGACCACGACCCTTAATTAATCGAGGCAGTATCAAGGCTGATGATTTGTATGATTTCTAAAGGGCGTCAGAATCAAAGATCAGGAAAAGTAATACAACGTTAATCACGTTTAAATAGTTTAAAATGCATTAAATAGAACGCTATATGAACAAATGTACCTAAACATACAAGGCGTTTGATTATATTTTTAAATAAAACGTTGAATAACTTTGGATTCAACGTCTTAAACCTAATGTTGACAAAACACCCTGGATCCAGTTTACGGGTAGCGTTTCGAGACTTCTCTAGAAAAGCATCAACTAGAATTTTATTCACTTTCAAAAAGTGAAAGCCTTTCGAAAAGGGGAAAATCTCTAAATGAATCCGTTTAAAAACTGAAAAATTAATCGAATGGGAACATATTGTTATTATCATTACTGATTTCTTTAAACATCAAAATACGAGAATAGCAGGACTAAGTTGGCAGGCTGGCCTAACCACTGAAAAACGTTCAACCAATATGTACCATAAACCGCAACCAGGATATATTAAACTTTAAAACTTAGAATATAATTAAGTAACAAAAGTCCTAGCCCCTAACCAAAAAGCCGGTTTTCGGTGGCTGACAAAACAACTGCTTAGAAGCAACGCGGGCAATACGGCCTCTTGCTAGTATAAGGTGGTATTGTATACCAAGAAAGCAAATTCGGATAGCATATATAGTATAAACAGAGTGCTTAAATTACCTAATTGATAATATCTTTGTTCCAGTGAGAACTAAATTTAAGTCTACATTAAGTAAATCAATTTTTTTATCGTGCGTTTGGAGAAATATCGCGTGAATATAATTTTGCAGATCAGGGACCAGGGGTCGGTTGTATAAAAATGTAGTAAACTCTTAATCATAGTTAGTAACAGAATTGACCAATCAGAGTCATGTATTTCTGAGTTAACTACGATTTAACTATGCAAAATGTAGTTAAGAGCTTTATACAACCGGCTCCAGATGTATAAAACTCTTTAACTACATTTTGCATAGTTAAATGAGCAATACACGACTCTGATTGGCCAATTCTGTCGTTAACTACAGTACATGCAGTTATACAACCGGCCCCAGAGGATTGCAAAATTAAATTTTTCACGCGGTATTTCCACAAACGTACGATAAAATACTGTTTTCAACATGCAAGCTTTCAAGGAACCTATAAATTAATATTGTTCAGTATCCACACAGCAAAATTGGATATTCTTGCAAGAAAAATATTCTTGCAAAATTCTTGTTTTAAGTAAAATATTACTTATTTTGAGAAATGCTATTCTTAGTATCAATTTGAAATTCTTGAAATAAGTAAAAATATTTCTGCTAAGAATTATTTCTCTTAAAACAAGACAAGTAAATTTGAGACAAGAATAATATTCTTGCTAGAAATGTAACATTCTTGAAACAAGAATCAAGTAAATTTGTGGAGAACACAAAATTCTTGAAATAAGAATACGACAAGAATAATATTCTCACAAGAAATGTAACATTCTTGAAACAAGAATCAAGTAAATTTGGGGAGTATATAAAATTCTTAAAATAAGAGCGTATTGAATATAACTTTCTTGAAACAAAAATAATGTTCTAACAAATTTATTCTCATTCTTAAATTTAGTAAATTAGTTCTACCTGCTATTTAGTTTTCATTTAAGGTGGCTCCATACAGTTTTTTAAAAGTCAGACACTTAGCATTTAAAAATGCTCAAATTTTATTAGTATAGCGTTCAGGCATTTTGAAGACTTATTTTACTGATAATGGGATTTTTAGTTTATTCATATGTTCCATCTTCAAAAGCACACTATGTTTTGTTAGAGATCAAACATAGCTATGGCAACATATATGTACAAAATAGAACATACAATCTTGAAACAATGTGACATTTGGCAACATAAATTGTAATTACTGTATGAGCAACATAGTCTTGACTGCCTCTTTCATGCAAGATACTATGTACAATTCAAAATTTTTCTAAAAACTCTTACCAGTCACTAGTGAAGAGGATTTCGTCCTTCAATATGCTCCTCAATGATGTCACGAAGGTCATATTTCACTGCAACATACTTATTATTCTCTTTATCTTTCTTGTAATGAAAGACATTAAAGTCCACTAGACTGTCATAAGGATAAATTCCAGTAACATCTTCTGTACTCTCAGAAACACGATAAGCTTGATGTTTTTCATCGAAAGATAATGTCTCAAGTAATTGTACATCAAAGTATGTAAAGTCTAGAATTGACCATATGCACACAATGACTCCAAAAACTGGCAATGCAGGGTCTCCAGCAACATCAATAGCAATAATACCAGACTTGGCAAACTTTGTTCCAAAAAGCTTTATCCAACTTACTTTGTAAACATTCACAATTTCAATGGAGGGTAGAAGGCCACGTTCATCAAATCTTTCTCGCAAGGACAAACATACTTCTGCACCTGCTTTCTTTAGCACACCATATTCCCTTTCTGTTGAAAACAGTGGATGTGAGCTTGGGTTCTCGTTTGAATCACCATAGTTGCTGCACAAATTGAACTGATGGCGCTTAGCTAGTGACAATGGCAAATTCTTGAAATTCTGCTTTCTTGCCAACTCTTTAAAATAATTATGAGCAGATTCAAAACTGAAACAGGAAGATCTAACCATTGGTCCAAGCATTCTAATTGTAGACGGGATATGGAGCAAATAGTGTTGTTTCGGGATTATGTTACAGTTTGGAAACAAATCTTTAAATGTGGTCAGATGTTGTTGGATAAGTTCTGCCAAGTAGTCAATGTTCTCCAATTTAATTACTGGTGAGAAAATCAATTGAACAATCTGAATCAATTGTATGAGGAACTGGTAATGCGGACCATTGCTGTCAACAAAAGGACCAATGAAAAATGGCAAGAGTCGTAAAAATAGGCGAGCTTTTGCAGCATTGTACTTAAGCTTGTATCTTTCTTCACCATGAAACACAGTATCCTTCAGGGGAGTTGGTTTGTCGCTGATCTCTGAGTATCCATATTCATGGGATAATATTGCTCCATTGATTTCAGATAGACTGGTTTGACCCGATTGTAGGTAATGAAGAAGAACTAGTCGAACCTCATACTGCACAACTCCTTCAAGCAGAGTGTGCATGATATCCTGGGGGAGCTGCTGTGTGACATCAAATGTGGGTAGCTGGCAAAGGGAACTTCTCTGTGTTAGTCCATAAGTCGTTCTTAGATCTTTTTGGACACTTGGAGTTGGTGCCTGTTCAATGGCATCAAACTGTTCACTGTAGTTTTCCTTTGTTCTTAGATTGAACTCTTCTTCCAAGAAGTCAGTCTGCATCTGTTCAAATGAGCACTGACAATGCCGACATTTTTGGAAAGCTACACCAACACCTTCTTTGAATCCGCCCAAATAATGCTGACCAAGTGTGTCACCCGCACACAATAATACCTTCCCATGGATAACTTTTTCCACACCATTGATCTCCATTTTGCATCCTTGATACAGAATGTTCAAATCATCAATAACTGGCTGCATTACTGTGTTAATACCATATTTCTTTACCAAATCAGCATTGGCAATTGCAAATAAGTGGACAGCACAGCGCTTGGATCTGAACTTTGGGCATAAATTGGCAATTGTAAAATAGTACATGTCTAGCTTGTGTACCCCAGCATTACTGCCTAATGGATTACACACCTCTAGCTCATCATGATACAATACAATGCACAATGTGTTCTCGTGTTCATCAAAATAGTGATCACTTTGATACAAAAGGCCATCATGTACATCATATAATACTCCATCTTGACAGCACTTAGGTTTCTTCAGAAGAATAGTAGAGATGCGCTTATTTGAGAGGATCTGTTTTATGCTTTCAAGTATTGGAATGTACACAAATTTCTCACTTTTCTCAGAAATAAGTCTCTTACCACTGTTTATTTTCCAAACAAATTTCTTCCCTAAAGTTACCTCCTTTGGTTCCACATAACTGAAGTTTTGCTTGATGTACTTTGACTGTAGTGCTTCGGTTTCTATCCCAGAAAAAGGATCTGTAGCTGACTCAAACACATTTCTCACCTGGCCTTTTTGTTCACTGGAATCTAACACATTTAAAACTTCCGCTTTCACAGAATCTACCACTTGCTTTACCAGTGTGCGTGTACTGTCCATTATAGATTCCATTGCAACCTAAAACATATTAATTGTAGTATCATATTATATGAGGCGTACACAGTTTTTCTAAAACCACACAATTTGACTCTTCAAGGAGAGATTATATATCATGCTATGTACTTTACAAAATAAGGAATACAGAGTTAAGATTCAATTTGAATTTTACTTCATATTTGAATTATAGCAAATAACAGGCAATTTCAGAGAGATTGAAAAACATTATCAGGTGGATAGCACTATCCACTTTTTGTTCAACTGACTCTAGATGTTTAGCAATTAGAAGCAATTTACCAATTAGTTTATTCAAACAGGGACATAGGTTGGGTATACTATACTGCACCAAAGTTTCATCAATAAGTATTTATACACACCTGAGGTATTTTATTCCTTTCTTTCACCTTTAAGAGAAATGAGGCAGCACTCTTTGTAATGTCAATATTGTCAACATTCTAAAATCACATAAAATATTTTACACTTAATTAATCATACTACTTGGTTTGTGCACATAATATTACTAGACAGTACTGTACAATGAACACTTGTGGAAACCAAATGCAAAAATAGCCTGATGCAAGATATTTCTTTAGCACAATTGCCAGGTGCTATATTGAAAGCTTATAATAGTCTTCACAGAGAGTATATCTAGTTCAAACCATTGCATCATCTTTAATTGGCTAGAACATGTGTTATGTTTTGTGAAGAGATACCATGTATTTAGATAATTCACTGGACAGCACAGTAAAAACTGCCATCATTCTATCTATACCACTGCCTATATTCAACATGCCATCAACAACTTGTACGAGAACTGTTAACATTTCATGGAGGGATGGCAAGAGTTTCATAAACTAGAGCACTTCAATATGGTTTGCAAAGTCAAAGCACTTTGTTATGATAGAATATTGTAATTAAGTTTGTTCGTAAAGACAACAATCTTCTTTGCTACAGTAACGATATAGGTACCTGGTTCTCATCTATATTCATTTCCAATTCCAATTCTTCAGCACTACTGCTCTCATCTGATTCAACTGTGAAGTGGTGATCAATATCATCGATATTATCCTCATTGTTAAATTCAGCGTCAGCGTTATCCTCAATATTTCCATCGTAGACTTCCTTATGAGATCTGGTGATGTGCTTGTATAACGAATTATATTTCGTAAATGTTGCTGGACAATTCTCGATGCCACAAACTACTTGAAAATTAGGCTCATTTCCATGAACTTTATTATAGTGATTAAGCAACGTTCGTAGTGAAATTGCTTGGAAACAATTACACAATCTACACTCCCAACGCCTTTCATTTATATGACGGTGTCTTTTCATTTTAAAAGCATATTCTTAACCGAAAATTCCTCGCAACAAAGTTGTAAAATAACAGAGACTTTGAAAATTGAAATTGAAGTTTTCCAAATTATAAAATCCCTGCAAAGCATGTTGGGTCTAGAGTTCGCTGGTCAGGCGGTGCGGCGGCGCATTTCTCATGTTACTGGCTTACTTACACTTCACTTAACTTACCACGCGCTCCGAAGTTTGTTATCGCAAGAAATTCAGAAATGTCGAACGATTTACTAGGGAAAATTGCCGAGATTGATAAAGACGTCGCAGATAGTTTAAAGGGTAAGTATATATGTTCTTATTTTATGTTATAATAGTTAAGAATTGTCGTCGCATACATATGTTTAAATTCGCAACGCGATACAAATTTAAATTTTGCCGCGATATAAACGAATATTCATACCGATTCCGTCATCGTAATGCAATCAGATTTGTGCGCCTAACTTGCTTCGTATCATTACGAATTGACAGATAAAGTATATTTTCTGCGATCGAGTGTAAACTAAGCTATTATAAATGGAAATAGAACAATTCTTTGAGAAAGCTATGTCATATTTTACAGAATTAAAAGCACTTCATTTTGTCATATTCGGGGGTCCCCTGTTTATATTCGCACGGGTCACATTTTGAATCTAAAAATAGACTAAGGACAAATGGATAATTTCAGCCCAGGGGCCTGTACTTAATAAGCCGCTTGTTCGAAAGGCGTTTAGGATAAGCTGAAAATGGAAAGCAAAATTATCTCTTTATTGGACAAATAGCTCAACTTTCAATGGTTATACATATTATATCATTTATATGCATAAAATGTAGGTTCAGTCATTCACAAGATGTACTCAAAAAACCCCCAAAACTATTAAAATCACCCATTGTTAGTGGTTGTGGAGATTAACATGTTGCTTAAGTTCTAAATTGAAATATTGTTATCCATATTTGTAAAGCATATTGGTATTAAAAGTCATTTGTGGGTATACAAACAAATTTCACTGCCTTGTATCATACATAAAAATGCTTATGTCAAACATTTATTTATCCACTTGTGGTGCTTAGGCATTCAATTCCAGCTATTGTATGGTCTTGGGACACCCTGTATTTTAAAATTTCGACATAAGTTAAACGCCTTACGAACAACCGGCCCCAGGATGGTATAAATTAGATTTGGCTGCCCATGCAAATTTATAAACATGTGTTGCTAAATTTAAGAACATTTGTATGCGTGTGTAGTTTACATTATATTTTCTAACCTGTGTATTATTTTCAGAGGGTGGCCTCACAAATGAAGATGTCAAGGAACTGTGTTATGATGCATTAAAGGAAATTATTCCTGGCGATGGTATGAAATTGATTTTACTGCGGTCACGCATCTGGAAAGTAATATCTCAGGTATAAAATAATATTGTTAATACAATCTTTTAAAATGTTAATGTATTCAGTATCAAGTGAGAGTCAACAGAGAATATTATTTTAGACTAGACTATATAATTATTTTAATATACTTTGTAATAGGAAACTGAGAAAGCACCAACTGATAAATCTCATCCAACAACAAAGGCTTTGGTCGAAAAGCGAAAAATTGATATGGCAGTCTGTGTGGATAATCATATTGACTTGTCAGAAGATGATACTTTCTCATCATCATCAACAGATGATAAGGGCCTTACAAAAGCCGGGCCTTCAACAAAAAGAGCAAAGCCTACTCCAGCAACCCCACCAGCAACATTTCAAGTGAAATCCCCAGTCTTCACTATATACCGTGACAGACGGGTTGACTTGGCTGTGGAAAGTGGTAGTATACCAGAACATTTGGTCCATGACATTGTGCGGGGAACAGTCAGCAACATGATATCCATGACCTTGTGTGACCCATGGAATCGATTGCCCACTACAATGGAGCTGAAGGAAATGGCAAAAAGTCTTGTTGTGACGTATCCATTGCTATCTGATCCAGTGAATGGCCATGTAAGCGTTATATATAAATATTGTGATAAGCTACTACATATTTACCAGTATTCTATATGTTGTATGTTAACTTTGACACAACAGGTCTATTCAATAATGTGAATTAGCTTTGTGGACTGGAGATATTGAGTTTTTATTTATAACAGATTTTCCTTGTTTCAGGAACGTTTATTTAACCGCCTGAAGAAGAGAATGTATAACAAGAAGACAGTTGAGAACAAGCGGGGGCCCAATAAGAAAAAAGCCAGCAACAAGATAACCAGTTATATTAAAACCACTGAATGTCCAGAAGACCAGCAATCCAACGATGTAGATCCAATCATGACTGATATTAGCACTGGTGAACAGCAGAGCAATGCTGAAGCTGGAAGTAGCAACAGTAAGTAGAACAACAATCTATGTATGTATGTACTGTCTGTCCATTTGTCTTTGAATTCATGTCCTTACAGTAATGAATGCATGTCCTTATCGGCTTCGCTGATGTATTGTTTCTTATTTTCAGGTTCAGAGTCATCTGTCAGTGGCATGGATGATATGATTATGGGCAGATTATACAATTCTTTGTCAAAAGAGATGCAAAAAAGCAAGCCATCGCCCAATGTAATTAATTCATACTTAAACCAAGAGTTTAAATCAAGACGAGCCCGTATCAAGAAAATGCCAGCAACAGAAAGATGCTCAAGATTGTTTGAGCTGTATCCATGCTTTAAAAACCCTGTAGAGGTAGGCTGTTTATTTTTTTAGAATACACTGGCTTTGAACATTTAATTTAGGTTACTCTATTAGTATGCTATTTCAAACAAACCCATTCCCTCTGAATTTTAAAACTGTTGTTATGCACATTATGGTACATGCAATGCATCCTATTTTTGTATTCACAATATCTAATGTCTGTGATCTGTGATAAGAATGATCATAGACACTGCTATATGATGTAACATCAGACGAAAAACATATGATGTTAAAACATATCTTTGCTAGATTACTGAAGAGGTGCGCCGGATTAATGAAAAAGCTGTCAATAATGATCCCAAAAAATTTATGAATGAATGTGTCATGAGATTGGAAGAAGAGCTGGATGTAATGTTATATTTTGGTTGCTCAAAGCAAAGGATGGAGCTCCCTAAAAAACCTGGAAAGGGTAAGTGTATATATTTCAAAATCTGTCATTTTGCAATTGCTTATACAGTATGTAAGATATATGAACAGTTGTGTTGTGCCTGTGCTGTATGCATTGTTCATTTCTTATTGTGCACAATGACTAAGAATAAAAATGTTTATTGTTACAGTTTCCAAAGTTGTACAGCTTATGAAGAATTAGCACTTGTTGTTTGGCAATGGAAAGCTAAATAAGTCTGCCAAGAAGCTCATTGAGCTTATTTATGTGATTAAGGTAATTGTTACTTTGATAGCGGAATAAGAGAAGTAATCATTATTGGCATGCTACACGGCCTTTGCTTATGATGAAAATGTTTCATTTAATGTTTTTCTACTTAGGATCACGAGGATCCAGAGACAGTTTGTAGCCGACGACAAGGTAAAGGTATTCCTTTGTTATGTCTGGATAAGACATCAGCCTACCTCGTCTGCCAAGGTACCCTTATTTTCACAGTGGAACTAAGGAATATAATGCAAGCAGTCTTGGCATTAATCGGATTATTTTATCTTATTGATGTGGATTATCCAAAATCTCATGAGCTAGGTCTAACTATGCTCCACAGCTTATTATTTCACGATATGAACACCCCTGCAGACCTGTATAACTCATTTGAGTCTGCCAAAGAGGATTACTTGAAGTTCAAGCAGAACTCATCTGACGATTTTTAAACTTTAATGCAATGTGTGATAGGTTAATATACATTGTCAAGAAATAGAGGGCTTGAGCTTCGCATTTGAAGACAGGCTGAGTTGATTTTTTGCATAAAATTTGGGCATCATTTCTTCGCTTTTTATTTTCATTCCGGCGGCCTCAAACAAATTATCATGCAATTCAATTCGAACATATCACGTTTGCCATCATTGCCTCATCATTGCCGTTTGTTATGGAATGCCTAAGCCCTCTGGCTCTTCTAGCTATGAATTGAACAGTACGGTGTAGAACTGAATGTCAGGTTTAATTGAAACAAAATGCGCTTTGCGCATATTGGTTGCACTTGCATGCACTTTGTGTAACTTACTTTTTGGCCTTTTGTATTAGTGTAGAAATTGGTTTTGTCTGGTGCTTTTAGCAGAATATATTAATAAATTTTAAAGAGAACTACGATGTTCTTGAATGAAAACAGTATTTATATTTATATTAAGCATTTCTGCATGTACCGCGCACCTGCACCCAAAAAAACCCTTTCTTAAATTGAGAATATATTCTTAACCTTCATTCTTATTTTGAGAATACGTGCTTTCTCATTGTTCTTAATTTAGGAAAAAAATTTCTTGTAACAAGTAAAAATGTTCTTGCATTCTAGGATTATTCTCGCAAGAAAAAATGTTCTTATATCAAGAATATATTCTTGTATCAAGAACAAATATTCTTGCCTAGAATATAATTCTTGAAACAAGAATAATATTCTATGCAAGAATAATATTCTTACTATACGGACAAGAATGTATTTGCTTGCTTTGAGCAAAATTTTGCTCAAAGCAAGCATTTTTTTTCTTAAATCAAGAATGACAATTTTTGCTGTGCATTAGGGCTTACACGAATTAATAACGCGATAATACAAATAGCGGTTATAATCTAGGGCATATGGTTATATAGCGTGCATGCATGGATGCATTCATGTATTAAACCACTTAACGCCGTTAATTATGTGTTACTTTAACCCTGATCTGCCCCCATTTCTGGGTATTAAATACGTCACAGTTCTGTCAGCACGGTATTACGAACTTTAAAGCACTACGAAGAACCATGATCAAGGGCATTGATTTGAATGTGCTATAGTCAGACTTAAACTAGTTAGCCTCCAAATTCCATCTGAATCACAGAAGAATTCGCCTTTCCAATGGCATAACAAACAAGACGGTTTCGTCATCAACTTTATCATAACCGGGTATTAAATTTCGCGCTATGCGTTGAACGGGTATAAAGGACGCCGGACCAAAACTCTCGAACAAGTTTGAGCACCAAATCTCGGGCGTAACTCCATCATTACCATAATGAAATCGTTCAGGGTGCCGTTGAAACCAGCGAACGTGCGCAAAACAAAACGAATGTACCTTATCCCGATACGAAATCGACTGGCGTACGAAACAATCGATAATGCCCGGTCTTTCCTCTACACCTTCCATATCCACACCTCCATGGAATCGTCCTGCCCACCTTGCTAAAATGTAAGCAAAACGACTTAGACGGGAAAACTCTGACCCGTATCGTTCCCCTGAAAATTCGATGGACGCGTATTTATCGTAGAGGTAAGGAATGTTGTCGACTGGTATGTCAGGAAGAAATATTTTGTAAACAGCACTCAGGTACTCGTGCTCATCACAATCTAACTGTTCAATAACGTGAGGTAAACCAAGGGAGTAACCATCCAGAGTAAACCATAACTCATCACGAATGTCAAGCCTACCATCACACAAATGAAGAATATCAATTGCAAGCTTGCTATCAACTACTTCGCTACAAGATTGATGGCCTTCGCGCTGTTGTAGTTTATCAGTCAAATCGCTAAAATGCTGCACACATTCTTTTGGGAATTCAAGTTCTCTCAAGTTCTGATCTCTCAAAAACTTTCTCATAATTTGCAATTCAATTGACTTATTATTGTTCGAATAGTTACCTAGTATGCCATTGTACCGTTCAAAGCTGAACAACCAAAAACTATACACTGGTCCATAGTCAAGAATACAATCGGCCAAATGTGTATGCATATGCATATTCGGTGTAATGCGTTGTGTTCCATATAACTTTTCGACATCACGACAGAACTTTACAAGCAGAGAATGCGCAAGACCCACGTCATGTATTTTAATCATTGGCCGTGACAGAATTTTACAAGCTTTAACAAAATTCAACCAGCATTTGTAATGTTTACCAGGTAGATGACCTAACAATGCAAACGGAGAGAAGACAGTTACCCAGGTTTTCCACTGTTCTGCCGTAAATCCAGAAAACGACTTGGCTATTTTGAACGGAAGTCGACCCATGTTTGAAGGTGTATTACATATGTCTACTTTCTGTTGAATAAGTTCCAAATCTGCACGTGTCAAAAGAGAAAGTTCCAACCACAATTCCATCATGCGTTTCGCAGTTCCCAGAAATAAATTATGCATCGGATCAACAATAGTAAACCTAATGCAGTCGAAGTATGGTAGTCGGAGAAGTTCGGAATATCTAGCGCCATATAGAGACTCCTTCGCATTACGCAATTCCTGCGTCAACTGCGCTAAAATCTCCTCAACATGCCTCCTATGGTCAACAATATTTCTCCCACTACTCGAATTGAATCCGGAATAATCAGTTGCATCACCGAATCCACCAGTAACGAACTCTTTGGTGCACTTATTGCAACCACGTTTAGAGTTGTGAGCAGTGAACCCGCAAACCTTCTTACTGGCTGACATATCACAGGCTACGCACAACAAAGCAGCTCGAAAGCGTTCTGGTAAAATAAGTGAGCCAGAATTTCGTAGGGTCACGCCTTCCTCCCAAAGAACAACAAGCTCATCAACGAGTGGTTTAAGGTATGAGTTAATGTTATTCTTGGGCTCACTAGGTCCGGGAATGATTCCGACGAGAAAAATATTTTGTCGTTTAAAGCGCTCACTGCGCGGAAGGTTCATCAAAACAAGGTACAAAACTCCGACAGAATATGGTGTGTGATCATATGGTTGCATCCAATCAACATTGAGCATAAAGCTATAATTACGAGGAGATGCCAGAAAGGATGATCCATTGAACATCTGAAAATCTCTCCAGACTCGTCCTTCAAATACGTCACACATAACTTGATGAGCAGTTCGAATATCACGATTTCTCCACAACTCACATCGCTGGGTAAAACCAGCTCGCCTAACAAACTGTTGCAATGTTGCAATAACACTCTGGTAACAATATATTTTATGAGGATATAATCGCTTACCACCATCTTTAAGAGTTACCTCTTTCAACAGAGTTGAGCTGCATGGTTGACGCATGCGCAATTGTCTATAATTTGGAAAACGAACAAAGGAACAGGTTTTGGACACCTTGCGAGTACCAACTGTTCGGTAGCAATCTTCGAATTCATACAAGGAAGAACATTTTGGACAAATAACGTTACTTAGTAAACTTGTCACCTACCAGGCCTACTTCTTTTCTAAAAAGGTACAGCGATCCAGGAAAGCCAAGGAGAATGTGGCAAGCCAATTGTTGGAAAGAGATGCTGCTTGAAAGAATCGTTTCAACGACAAAAGCAAAAACTCCATTGCGTTGTCCGGTATGGGAAAGTAGGTCCAAAAAAACGCAAGTAAAATAACTAGACAATTGAGCAACGTGCGGTTGGAAGGAGAATCTGACGTATTGACACTAACGGATGGAATTTTAGTGTCTTCGTCGATTTCATTATCTGAAATATCATCCCAGATCTCACGCTCAAGCAGTTCTTCGCGGAACAATTCATCAGCCAAGTCAGGTTCAGTATAATTGCTATCGCAATGATTTGATGGAAGAGGGAAACATGGAGTGACCTGGTCGATCTCAATAAAGTTGTCTTCATCATCACTACTGCCTTCTAAAATTGGATCTTTGCCACGAGTTTGAATTTTGGTCAAAATAAACTTCCCTATTCGCCTGAAAGTTCTTGCAGGTAAATAGGTCTCGCAATGTGGACACAAGGTCATATAGTTGTTGTATTCAGCCATGATTGTTTTTAGATTTTTATAAGCAATGTTGATATAAAAACAAGAGTTTAAAAGAAACACAAAGGGCTAAACGGGGGTAGTAGATGCTATTCAGGGACACTATAAGTGTCCAGGTGACCTAAACCAACCAATTAGAAGCCTCATATTTATTTCGCGCTAAATCTAGAATTCGAGAGGGAAACTCGAAGGAAAAATTTTCAAGTTGTTTTGACAAGCCAGTTTTTATACACTTAACATTTAATTTTTTAACGAAAGCTACCAGTTTTTTAAAAAAATGGCAATCAATGGTCAGAATGAGGAACTCATGCGACGTATTTTGGCAAGTCAACGGACAATCATTGAACAAAATCAAAAAATATTACATCAACAAGAGCAGAATATAGCTAAAGAGCGCGGGGCACAGCTTGCTACCCGAGAGAAAATCCCCCTTATTTTAAAGGTAAATGCTTACTCATTCGAATTAAAGTAATTTAATCAATCATT